AATCTTCCGGCACTATACCCGTGGACAGTGAGGACAAAAAGATCATCGCCAAAGGCCCTGCGATCTCTTACCTCGCTTCCCATAGAATCCTTGAATAAATCCCATCAGGCCCAGGGGGACTTATCTATCTTCAACTTCCTCAAAATTCCTAGCACATCTTCCTGACTAACAGCAACCTCATCTAGCCTACCAGCCTGTTTCACACTGCCCTCCTGTACAAGTAGGTACCTCTCAGTTGTGAATACCGAAGAAACGTATTCATTAAGAACCTCTCCTATCTCTTCAGGCTCCGTGCACAAATTCCCTTTACAATCCTTGATCGGCCCGACCCTTTCTCTGGTCATTCTCTTATTCCTCACGTACATGTAAAAAGTCTTGGCGTTTTCCTTGATCCTATCTGCCAAGGTTTTCTCATGCCCCCTTATAGCTCTCCTAAGCCCTTTCTTCAGCTCCTTCCTGGCTAACTTGTATCCCTCTAGAGCCTTTTCCGTTCCTTGTTTCCTAAACCTTACATAAGCATCCTTCTTCCTCTTAACCAGTCATTTGACCTCTCTTGAGAACCAAGGCTCCCTCACTCGACAGCATCTTCCCTGCCTGCTAGGGACAAACATATCGAACACACGCAGTATGCATTCCTTAAACAATCTCCACATTTCAATAGTGCTCTTCCCTGACAGCATCTGTTCCCATTTTATGTTACCCAGTTCTTGCCTAACAGAATTGTAATTACCCTTCCCCCAATTATAAACCTTACCCTGCTGTATGTACCTATCTTTTTTTCCATGACTATTGTAAAAGTAACAGCGTTATGATCACTACCGCCAAAATGCTCTCCTACCAACAGGTCTAACACTTGGCCCAGTTCATTGCCAAGCACCAAATCCAAAGTGGCCTCTCCTCGTGTTGGTCTGTCTACATACTGTATCAGGAATCCTTCCTGAATGCACTGGACAAAATCCGCTCCATCTAAACTATTAGAACTAAAATGTTTCCAATCAGTATTTGGAAAGTTGAAGTCACCCATGACTGCAACCCTGTGACTTCTGCACCTTTCCAGTATCTGCCTCCCAATCTGCTGCTCCACTTCTCTGAAACTATTAGGGGGTCTGTTTTAAAATTTTAAAAAAAAAACCCCAACAAAGTGACTGATCCTTTTCTTGTTCCGGACCTCAATCCAAACTGACTCTGTAGACCTATCATTCTCGAACTGCCTTTTAGTAGCTGTTCTCCCAGCCCTGACCAGCAATGCCACTCCCCCGCCTCTTTTTCCACCCTCCCTATTTCTTTTAAAGCATCTAAATCCCAGAAGTTCCAACAACCATTCCTGTCCCTGAGTTACCCAGGTTTCTGTAATGGCCACAACATCATAGTTCCAAGTACTGACCCGTGCTCTAAGTTCATCCGCCTTATTTCCGATACTTCTAGCATTGAAGTCTCCACACCTCAAACCATCTCTGTGTCCACAATTACGCTCCATCGACCACATTTCTTTATTAACAACCTCCCTCCCTGTTGGAAGGCTGAATACCTCATTCTCTGAATTACAAATCCGGTTCCCCACCCCCTGCCAATCTCGTTTAAACTGTCCAGTATAGCTCAAGCAAACCTCCCTCCTAGGATATTTGTGTCCTTGCGGTTCAGGTGCAACCCATCCTTCCTGTACAGGTCCCACCTTCCCCAGAATGTGCTCCAATTATCCACATAATGGAAGCCCTCCCTCCTACACCAGCCCTGTAGCCACATGTTTAGCTGCACTCTCTCCCTATTTCTTACCTCATTATCACGTGGCACTGGTAGTAATCCAGAGATAACTACCCTGTTTGTCCTGGACTTCAGCTTCCAACCTAACTCCCTGTACTCGTTTTTCACATTCTCCGTCCTTTTTCTACCTCTGTCATTGGTACCGATGTGTGCCATGACTGCTGGTAGCTCACCCTCCCCCTTCAGGATCTTGAAGGCATGATCCGAGACATCACGGACCCTGGCACCCAGGAGGCAACGTACCATCCGTTCATCTCGTTCGAGTCCACAGAACCGCCTGTCTGTGCCTCTTACTATTGAATCCCCCACTACAATTGCTCTCCTATTCTTCCCCCCTTCCCTTCTGTGCCACAGGGCCAGGCTCAGTGCCAGAGACATGTCCGCTATGGTAGGTCCCCCCATCCCCCCACCCTCCCCAACAGTATCTGAAACGTTATATTTATTATTGAGGGGAACGGCCGCAGGGGATCCCTGCACTCTCTGCCTCTTCCCTTTCCCTTCCTGACAGTCACCCAGCTACCTTTTTCCTGTACCTTCGATGTGACCACCTCCTTGTAACTCTTCTCTATCACCCCCTCAGCCTCCCGAATGATCCGTGGTTTTTGAGGAGGTGGAGTTAGGTGGAGTTGGGTGCACGTCTCACAGGTGAAGTCAGAGGGGACACCAGCAGTGACCCTTACCTCCCACATCCTGCAAGAGGAGCATGCAACTGCCCTAGCTTCCATTCCCTCTACTCTAGATTTCCAGAAGAATAAAAAAAAAGCGTTACCTTACTGACCCTCCACACAGTCTTTTTTTTGGTTAGAGGAGGAGGATGTGTGGGAGACACTTCACATGCAGTGTTTTGGGTTTAGCCAATGCCCGAATATATCAGTTCGTTCCTGGCTCGCGCTCTTTCCACACACGTGCTGCTGAAAACAAGAAGGCACGCTGCACAAGGTAAGTTTTTATACAGGGGAAAAAAACACCCTTACCTTCCTGTCAGCACTCTGGCTCGCGCTGCTGCCGCTGAAAAACAACATTTCTTCAAGTCCTATCTGCATATAATTGATTTACCTCCACTTTGCTTTTTTTAATCCAGTTTGCTAATTAGGAATGTGAGGGCATCAGAGAGAGTGCAGAAAATATTCACAAGATTGTTTCCAAGGCTGAGAAACTCCAGTTATGTTGATAGATTGTAGAAGCAAGAATTGTTTTCTGTGAGCAGGGAAGATTAGCAGATTTGATTTCGGTGTTCAAAATCATGAGAATTCAAGAAAGTATTCTTTGTTTGTAGAACATAAGAACATAAGAACTAGGAGCAGGAGTAGGCCATCTGGCCCCTCAAGCCTGCCCCACCATTTAATAAGATCATGGCTGATCTTTTTGAGACTCAGCTCCACTTACCCGCCCACTCACCATAACCCTTAATTCCTTTACTGTTCAACAATTTATCTAGCCATGCCTTAAACATTCAGCGAGGTAACTTCAACCACTTCACCGGGCAGGGAATTCCACAGATTCTCAACCCTTTGGGTGAAGAAGTTCCTCCTGACCTCAGTCCTACATCTACTTCTCTTTATTGTGAGGCGATGCCTTCTAGTCCTAGTTTCACCTGCTAGCGGAAACAACCTCCCTGCCTCCACTTTATCTATACCCTTCATAATCTTATATGTTTCTATAAGATCTCCCCTCATTCTTCTGAATTCCAATGAGTATAATCCCAGTCTACTCAGTCTCTCCTCAGAATTAAGGATCAGGCAGCACTGATCTAACATCTTTGGCAGAAGAAATAATGGTGGCATCAAGAAAATCTGTTTTTTACACAGTGGTTAAGATCTGGAATATACTGCCTGAGGTGGACTTAATCATGGCTCGTAGAAAAAATTTGAATGTTACATCTGAAGAGAATGTTTTGCAGGGCTAAGGAGAAAAGGTGATGAAGTAGGCCTACATAAAGTTCTTATAGAGGTCTGTCTTGAACATGACTGACCAAATGGTCTATAGTTTTCTGAATTTCATACCACTTAATTTTCTCTAGCAATCTACTGTCTGTACCTAAATAATGGTAATGACTTAAAGACAAGTCCTCTTCAAACTAAATTCAGATATTTCTTAGAATTGGCCTATTTCGTAGAATTCCTACAGTGTGGAAGCGGGCTATTTGGCCCATCAAGTTCACTCTGACCATCCGAGGAGCATCCCACCCAGACCCACCCCCTACACCATCCCTGTATTTCTTACCCTAGATACTGTGGGCAATTTAGCATGGCCAATGCACCTAACCTTTGGACTGTGGAAGGAAACCGGAGCACCCATAGAAAACCCACGCAGACATGGTGAGAATGTGCAAACTTCACCCAGACAGTCGCCCGAGGCTGGAATCGAACATGGGTCCCTGGCACTGTGAAGCAACAGTGCTAACCACTGAGTCACAGTGCCGAAATTATAATGGCCTTAACTGTTTGCTTGCATCACTTCCAGAGAATTTCTACATTGGGTAACACGCAGAAATGATCTATCCTCGTAATAGCTTGAAAATCCTGTTGCTTGAGTCCATAGTGTCTTTATGTTTGACTTGATTGATTCCTGATCAAAAGGAATGTTGCCTTTCCTACTACTCAGCTTCCTTTCAGTTTGAATCCAATTAAGAGAAGCCTCGATTTTAAATACTAGCTGCTCAAAATTTTATTAAAAGCATAACAAAAATAGTTTCCATGTTTTTAAGTTTGTCTTCCGTTTCCCATGCCCCATCATTGGTGGCCCTTTCTTCACACATCTAAACCCTAAACTCTGGATGTTGCTGTGTCTTTTCACTTGCCTCTTTTTTCCTTTTGAGGCTTCTTAAATATTCGCCTTTCAACCAAGTTTCTCAATGGCTCTTCTAAAATCTCTCCCTTTGCTGTAGTGACAATTTCTGTCTGATTTAGTTTCTTTGAATTGCCTTGGGTGTTTTGTTTATTGAAAATGCAATGTAAATGTAAGTTGTTGATTTGAAATTGCCATAGAGGAGGGAAAAATCCCTTTTATGTATAAGACTAATTATGCAAGCTTTGTCTAGATCAAGCATGTTTGATACTTAATCCTGTGTACCTTTTTTGCTTTATTTCCAGCTTTAAACCACTTTTTTGAAAAAGTATATACCAAATGTACTGACCTTCATTGTACAGGTTTTGATATGTTTAGTGATTATGCATTTACTGTTAGTAGTTGATCTGCAATATTTCGATTTGCTTTATATTGCTTTTGTTTTCTTTCAGCCAAAACCACCTCAGTACATGATGCCGTTACCCCAGTTACATTACACTGGACACTACATAGAGCCCTATAAATCTTCTCAAGGTAAAGTACTTAAGGATATTTAAGACGATATTGCTTAAAGTCGTCATCTTCATTAGGGTTTTCTTCTGTTGCTTTCTGTAATTCAAGTTTAAGTGTCCAAAAACAGTGGAATTCAAACATTTTTGACAGTCATTGGAACTTGCAATTGTAAACCTCTGTTCCAAAAAAAAAAGCCTGGAAGGTATATAATATTGTCATATTAATTTGAAAGGTATCAGACATGTTTGAAGAAATAGGGATATGGTAGGATAGTGATTGTGTTAGAAGATTAGTAATTCTGTGCCTGGACCAATGATTCAGGATTTAAAATCTCTTGACAACTAAATTGTGTAAATTCAGTTAATTGAACAAATCTATTTGAAAGGTAGCAGGAGTACAAACTTGGGCATTCACTTCTAGTATGGGTTGCATAACAATTTTGACCAGAAAATGCCTTCATCTATGGCTATGATTTGTGCATGGGTCTAGAGGTTTTTTGCTTTTGGACATACCGTTGAACATCAAGTAACTGTGGAGAGCTGCTAGTTTAAAAGAAACACCGAAACAATTTTTTTTTTTTTTTTTTTTTGTTACTCCATTGAAGTATCTGACAATTTTAAGTAATTGGACACTAGTACCTAAAACAAAATGTCTCATATAAAGTATTTGGTCCAGAACCAGGCATCGCAGTCTAAGAATACAGAGTAGTCCAGTTAGGACTGAGATGAGGAGAAATTTCCTCACTGAGAGGTGAGCCTATGGAATTTGCTACCACATAAAGCAGCCAAGGCCAAAACGTTGTATGATTTCAAGAAGGAGTTGGATTTAGCACTTGGGATTAAAGGGATCCAAGTGAAAAGCAGTAAAAGGCTATTGAGTTGGATGATCAGCCATGATAATGAATGGAGGAGCAGGCCTGAAGGGCTGATTGGCCTACTTATCCTATTTTTTATGTTTCTATATTGATTCAACTTGTTTCGCTGCTAAGCTAACTTGACTGTAGATTGAAGATCACCATTAAATCTGAGTGGCTCAGCTATTCATTCTCCATACCCTTCACTTTTTTTTTTACTTAATTTCAGACAATATTTACATGAACAATCAAAATAGCTTCTATCAATCGCAAACCAGTTTGGATAGAGCTCCATATGAATACAATGGTCGAATCCGAAATGGCAGTATCTATAGTGCACATAGCACCAGCTCTTTAAATAACCCACAGCACTTTATGCAAGCATCTCCGATGTCTTCAAATCCTAGCATGACTGGAAGTGATGTAATAAGAGGAGATTACATCCCAACCAATAGACACAGTGCAATTATTCCACCGTCCTATAGGCCAACTCCAGATTACGAGACTGTTATGAGGCAGCTAAATCGTGGAATGATTCAAAATGAAAGGCAAAGCCATTCTATGAGAAATCTTAATATAGGTAATTCTTATGCCTACAGTAGACCAGATCCACTTGTTTATAGCCAACCAGAAATCAGAGAACATTCTCAGTTCAATTCACAAAATATGTATCAGTACCCTTTTCATTTGAACTATAGTTTCCATAGTCAATCTCCATATATAAATTCAACTGATCGACGTCCTGTTGTTGGGGCTGTTAGTGTGCCAGAATTGACTAATGTTCAATTACATGCTCAGGATTACAATGCTGCAAACATGCTGAAAACCCAAGTATACAGGCCTCCTCCACCCTATCCTTATCCAAGACCTGCAAATAGTACACCTGACCTTTCCCGACATGTGTATGTTAGCAGCAGCAATCCAGATCTGATTACAAGGCGTGTGCATCACTCCGTACAGACTTTCCAGGAGGATAGTTTGCCTGTTGCGCATTCACTACAGGAAGTTAGTGAGCCCCTAACTTCTGCCAGACTACATACAAATATTCATAAACGTAACAGCATTGAGATTGCTGGACTTGTGCACAATTTTGAGAGTTGGAAAATAAAAGAAAGGACAGTGTCCACACCAGGCACCGAAACAAACTCGGAAAAAGTAACTCCTGCAAATTCACAACCAAATGTTTCTTTTGAGCAAACAAAACCCAGAGAGACTGAAGTTCACAAAGACAAAAGTTACCAGCACGGGCGATCTTTCTCGGATGCAACTATGCTGATTCACAGCAGTGAAGATGATGAGGAATATGATGCAAGGTGCATTGACCAGACATCTCAGATGCTACACCTTGATTCCACATCTCCAATGTCAGCCAAGTTAAATCAATTGATTAATGAACCACTGCCAGACTCTCTGTATAGTTCTGCACCTGCTCTCGGGAGACAGCAGAACTCAGAAAAGAGAGCACAAGAAAGGGAGGTAACAGAAGCAATGCAGTTTCTTCCATTTGTGTCTGAGTCTGACCTCAATACAGTTGGAAAAATCCAGATGAGAAGGCAGGCTTCCAAGAAGAGACCAATGTCTGAAGTGCTTTCTAGTAGATTATATGCAATGGAAGCTCTCCCACCACTTGGGGTGAGTAGTTTAACAAGTAATTCTTTATCTTGGCTGTAAATATATTAGTAATGTGCTGTACAACATTATAAAACATTTGTTCAATTAAAATTGTGTATAGGCTTATTTAGAGTCATAGAGTCATACAGCATGGAAACAGGCCCTTTGGCCCAAACTGGTCCATGCTGACCATGGTGCCCACTCAGCTAGTTCCAATTGCTGGCATTTGGTCCGTGTCCCTCTAAACCCTTCCCATCCATGTACCTATCCAAATGTATTTTTTAAATGTTGCTATTGTACCTGTCTTAACCACTTTCTCTGGCAGCCCATTCTGTTATACACACCACTCTCTGCGTGAAGAAGTTGCTCCTCAGGTCCTCCTTAAATCTATCCCCTCTCACCTTAAACCTATGCCCTCTAGTTTTCAATTCCCCATTCTTGGGAAAAAGACTATATGCATTCAGCCTATCTGTGCCCCTCATGATTTTATACACCTCCATAAGGTCACCCCTCATTTCCTATGTTCCAAGGAATAAAGTCCTGTGCTGGCCAATCTCTCCCTACTGGTCCTGGCAACATCCTCGTACATCATCTTTGCACACTTTCCAGTTTAACTATGACTTTCCTGTAACGGAGTGACCAAACCTGTACATTATACTCAGTGTGGCCTCACCAATGACTTGTACAGCTGTAACATAACATCCCAACTCTTATAGTCGGTGCCTCGACCGATGAAGGCCAGCATGCCAAATGCCTCCTTCACTCTGTCTACCTGTGACGCCACTTTCAATGAACTATGTACCTCACACTTATCAGCATTGAATCGCATTTGCCAGTCCTCAGCCGGCTTCCCCATCTGATCAAGATCCCTCTGTAATTTTTGATAACCTTCCTCACTATCAGCAATACCTCCTAGTTTTGTATCATTCGCAAACTTACTAATCATTCCTTGTACATTCACATCCAGATAAATAACAAACAACAAAGGTCCCAGCACTGACCCCTGTGGTGCACCACTAGTCACAGGCCTCCAATCTGAGAACAAACCTTAAAACATCACCTGCTTCCTACCATTGCGCTAATTTTGAATCCAATTAGCTAGCTTTCCTTGGATCCCATGCGACCGAACTTTCATGACTAGCCTGTCATGTGGGACCTTGTCAAAGGCCTTACTAAAGTCCATATAAGCAATTCCACTGCCCTACCCTCATCCATCCTCTTGGTTACCTCTCTGAAAAACTTTAAAAGATTTGTCAGACATGACTTCCTGCGCACAAATCCACGGTGACTATCCCTAATCAGACCTTGATCCAACATTTGGATAGTCCTGTCCCTCAATATCCTTCAATAAGTTGCCCACCATTGATGTCAGGCTCACTGGACTATAGTTTCCTGGCTTGTCTTTGCTACCTTTCTTATACAATGGAACAACATGAGCCACCTTCTGGAACTTCACCAGTGGATAAGGATGAAGCAAAAATCTCAGCAAGGGCGTCTGCAATTTCTTTCCTAGCCTCGCACAATGTCTGAGGATGGACTAGATCAGGCCCAGGGAATTTATCTACCATAATGTGCTCTAAGGCTGCAAATACCTCCTCTCAGGTAATGTGCATGCGGTCCAAAATATCCCCACTTGTCTCCCTCATTTCCATAGCATCCATGCTTCTGTCCTCAGTAAACACTAAGGAGAAAGATTCATTAAAACTCTCCCCCATCTCCTGTGGCTCCATACATAGATGGTCATACTGATCTTTAAGAGGAACTATTAGCTCCCTATTTTAATATAGCTATAAAATCTCTTGGGATTATCTTTAACCTTATCTGCCAGATCCATCTCATACCCTCCTTTTTGCTCTTCTGCTTTCCCTGTTGAGTGTGCTCCCACACTTTTTTTATAATCATCTAGCGATTCACTTCAACCCACTTAAACCCAATGTATTCCTCCTCCTTTTTCATGACCAGAGCCTCGATATCCATCATCAGCCAGGGATCCCTAAATCTGTCAGCTTTTCCCTTCAGCCTAACAGGTCCATACTGTCCCTGGGCTCTTGATACCACACTTTTAAAAGCCTTCCATTTGCCAGTTGTTCGTTTTCGTTGAAACAGACTCACCCAGTTGACCTCTGCTAGATCCTGCCAAATTGTCTCTGCTCCAGTTTAGCACCTTAACCTGTGGACCTGTCCTATCTTTTTCCATAACTATGTTAAAAGTAAGACATGGACGTTTAAGACATAGGAAGCCACTTGCCCCATTAAGTTTACACTTGATTCTTCGTAGAACAATCCAGTCAATCCTGTTCACCTTGCATTATTGCCTAACTTTGCAAGTTTATTTTGCCGAAGTGCTTATATCTCCGCTTCCACCATCCACATATCAGGGAATTCCAGTTTATTAACAGTCACTGTGTAAAATGGTTCTTCCTCACGTCCCTATTTGTACCTCGTGTCCTCCCATCCTTATACTATCAACTAAATGGGAACAGCTTTTCATTTGACTACTTTATCTAAACCTGTCACCGTCTTGTAACACCTCTATCAAATCTCCCTTCATCTTCATTTGCTCCAAGGAAAACAGCCAAGTTTCCTTAGCTTAACGTTGCAGTTGCCTAACTAGAACCTTGTACAGATTCAGCACAACTTCCCTGCCTGAGTCCTTATACTTGGTTAATTAGTCTTCCAATATGTCCTAAAATTTCAGAGATTACACATGAACGCCCCAGGACCCTCTGACCCTGTATAACCTTGTAGATCTGTGCCAGTAAGTGACGATTGCCTCCTGCTAACATAAATTGCCACTCAATTCTTAGTATTAAATTCTAACTGCTACTTGTTTGGCCATTCTGCTAGCCTGTGTCCTGTTGCAATCAGTTTTGTTGTCTTTGCTGTTTGAAACACTTCAAGTTTAGTATCATCTGAAATTTTATCATTTTTACCCTGTATTCCAGTATCCAAGACATTTATATATTAAAAATGCAGTGATCCCAGCACTGGCACTTAGGGACCTTTTACTATCTACCATCTTCAGATCTAAAAAGCATTCATTCATTACGAATCACCAACTTCTGTCCTTAAACGAATTTTTCTTTATCCAAGGTGACAGTGACCCTCTTCTTCCATGACCCTCCATTTTGTTAACCATTCTGCAAAGTCGTAATTTCCAAATGAATTACTTCGAATGCCTTTGGACTGCATCTATTGCTTTTCCTTCATCTAACATCCATTTACTTCAAAAATGTGTTTAGAATAATCAAATACAGACTTTTTTACAAATCTGTAATGCTGGTTACATTAATTTAAGAAGGTGCATGAGAAAGGATTCTTAGTGCCATTTTTATTCTACCTAAGCTGAAGAAGCAGCAAGATATAGGAAGTGACAAAATTGCTTTATTGGTTTGGATGCATCCCAGTAAAATATTTCATGATTGATGTGCAGGCTAGGTAAATGGACCAGCACCTATGTCTTTTTGTCATCAGTTATATTTGCACACCTTGACATTCCTATGTGCTAATGCAAGCTCCAGGTGCACCATTACAAGGTTGCATAACTTTGCAACTTGCTGCAAGGACCCCTGAAACATAACTGTGCTACTGCTAATATCGTCCATGTCACCAACCTCCAAAGCTTTTCTGCCTCTAATTTATTCCAGGCTAGTTTTTGTGCATCAGCTAATGTGCTGGTTACATACACATACATACAAATTAGGAGCGAGAGTATGTCATTCAGCCTCTCATGCCTGTTCTGACATTCTTTGAGGTCATGGCTGATCTAATTGTGGGCCCAATTTCACACTCCCACCATTTTCTGATAACCTTTGACTCCCTTGTTAGTCACAAATCTATTTTATGTATCTGTCCTATCTTGTCCATCTTATTTCTCCTCACCTCTTAGAAGATCACTTAGTTTTAATTTGGGTCCCATCATTCCATGTCATTCTCGCATGAGGGACATTCTTTCAGCATTCACTATGATAGGTCCTGTTGGGATCCTGTAAGATCAACTCTTCTAATCTCCAATGGATGCAGACCCAGTCTAACAACCTGTTCTCACATCATAACCCACCCCATCGCAAGTATCAATGGAATGAAGTGGAGTAAACCCTGTCTGCACCTACTCCTAACACATTTATATCCTTTCTTAACCAAGGACACCAAAACTACACAATACTCCAGATGTGTTCTTACCATTGCTCTGTACAACTGCAGCAAAACATAGCTATTTTTATTTCCATTCCTCGTGATAAATAGCAACGTTACATTTAAGTTCCTAATCTCCTGCTGTATCTAAATATTAATGTTGCGATTCATTCACCATGACACCTAGAACATTCTACCTCACTTCTGAAAGCTCCCTCCATTTAAATAACATTTTTTTGTATTCTTCCTGCCAAAGTGGACAAGTTCACATTTTTCTGCATTATATTCCAACTGCAAATTCTTTGTCCATTTGCTCAACCTATCTTTATCCCTTTTCAGGCTCCGACATCCTCATCACAACTTACCTTCCTACCTATCTTGATGGCATCAGCAAATTCATTCATTTCGTATTCATTCATGAGATGTAGGTGTCAGCATTAAGAATTCTCTCCTGACCAGTCTGTATTACAATTAACAATGGTTACATGATTGCCATTAGGTTGGTTATTCCAGATATTTATTGAATTCAAATTTCATTATTTGCCATGGTGGGATTTTAGCCAATATCACCAGAACTTCATTCTGGACTTCCAGTCCAGTGACATTACTAGCATGTCTTCTGAAATAACTGCACAGAGGCTAGTATTCCATCACAAATTCACCTTTATTTACAGATGCATAGATCTTGACACTGATCCAGTTTCCTCAGAGCCAGCTCACCAGAATGACCAGGACCTCTGGCACTCCTGTTTCTATCTGTCAGCCAGGGCTCCCTGATTGGGGCTGTTAACCTGTTCTAATCAGGGAGCTCAAATTCTGAGATCCACCTGGCTGACCTTGTTACAGTCACTACATCACCACCTCCCTTGGTGTGGATTAAAATTACC